TGGAATATGAGACAGTCTGCACACAAAACAAACTGTTCGTGTAGAATTTTTGAAGTAGCGGTATCCCGGTCTCAACCACGTACATTTTGACAGTGGAGATCTGGATAAGAATTCATAGGAATTCTTCAAACCATGGACCAATTAATGGGCAATGACGTGCTTCCCCTTAAGAGGGCGAAACATACGAAACTTCAAACAACAACAAAGTCACTGTAAGTTAACGCATCACTATCAAACATCCTCAAAATTTAAACAAACTCTCCCCTTGCAGTTGGCCTGCACCTTTCCAAGCCTCTCCACAAGCAACACTAACCGAAGCCTTCTCCCTTAAACATAACAGAGAGGTTGGTGAGAGGAAGGCTCAATCCCTAGAGAGCACCATTGACTCGATCCTCAAGGATCTTTTTTGTTTTTGTTTTTTTTTTCCGCCACTTCCTCTTTTTTACGCTTTTGGCGATGGGCCGGAGACCATGCTGCGATAAGCTCGGAGTGAAGAAGGGGCCGTGGACCGCGGAGGAGGACGAGAAGCTGGTTGGGTTCATGATGAGTGAGAACAGCGGGCATTGTTCCTGGAGGATGGTGCCAAAGCTTGCGGGGCTGAGGAGATGCGGGAAGAGTTGTAGGCTGAGATGGACTAATTATCTTAGGCCTGATTTGAAGAGGGGTTTGCTTAGTGAGCTTGAGGAGCAACTTGTTATTGACCTTCACTCTCGCTTGGGCAACAGGTATACAAATGTTTAATTTTGCCCCCTCTTCCTCTTTTCTTTATTGCATGCACGAGTTCATGGATAGTGATCCCATCGCTTGAGTGTAATTGCTCTTCAACCCCTGGGGCTCTGGAAGACTGCGGAACAATACTGTTGCAGATTGACGAAGGAAATAAGAGCATGGAGAATTGAGAAAATAATCACGAAAACATAGCGATTTAATATATGAGACTCGGCTCGGCAAGCAATTTGAACTATATATGTCCTCCGTTGTTAATATTCAGGTCATGGTTCCATGAACAACCAAATTAGGATTACAAACTCGATCTCTCTTAAACTATATAATCGTCTTTTTCTGCGGTCTCTATTCTTCTCTATTTGGACAAAACTTTTATAGACAATTGAATATACATGCTCGTGGCATGCGGTTCCATCGGGCAAAAAAGATACAAATATGCGCTCATTATACAACAAAATAAACTCAGTTTGTCTCAAAAGCCCCAAACTAACTAAGTAACCCCGAGCTTTCAACACTATTTTCAGAAAATTCCAATGAACTTTTGATAAACTTAACCCATAATTTTACATGGATGAAAATGCGTTCTAGGTCGGGAAAAACATTTTTTTACATATACCCATCATATCACCCCTATTTGCAGATTAACCCCCAAATTTGAAAACCATGATATTTCTGCTATAAATAATTCTAAAAGTTACCTTAAAGCTATGAAAAATAAAAACTACAAAGATCCCCATAAAAATACAAACAATTACAGATAAACCTCTAGGAAATATTAAATTGCAAAAACCTTGAAAAAGCAAAAAAATTCAACAAGCTCCCTACAAAATCAAATGCTAATAAAATCCCATGGGAATCTAAAAAATTAAGAAATAATCCCCAAAAATTTTGAAATTGCAAAAATCCCCATAAAAATCTAAAAATTACAAACACTCCTTCAGATTCAAAAATCACAAAAAGCCCCTTAATATTTAAAAAGTACAAACATCCTTTTAAATAATAAAAATTTTACAAATAATCCCATTTAAATTCTAAAAATTATAAAGAAATTTTAAAAATTACAAATAGACCCCTAAAATATGAAAAATAACAAAGAACCACCTGAAAGATACTAAATCAGAAAACATCCTTGGAAATTTTAGATTTTTTGGGGTATTTGCACTTTTAGATTTTTTTAGGGTCTGTTTGGTAATTTTTAGATTTTAGGGGTTTTTAAATTTTTAGATTCTTCAGGGGTCTATTTATAATTTTTGAACCTTTAGAGGATTTTGAATTTTCAGATCCTTCACAGGCATTTTTCTATAATTTCAAGTTTGACAGGGTTTTGCTTTTTGTTTTCAAGTGGTTGTATGTAAATTTTTTATTTTATAGGGGATTGTTTTCAAGTTTTTAAGTTTGGGGGTTAAGCACCAAGAAATTTAATTTTATTAAAGTTACTAGGAGTTTACTGCAAATGAGAGTTATTGGGGGTTTGTTGTAATTTACCCAAAAAAATTTACAAATGTTTGTCGTGTTTAATTAAGTGAGAGTTTAGGGGATCGTTATCTCAAAGCGGCCCAACTTAATTGAGGGGTACTAATGCATATGGAAATTTACACAAAATCTACCTGCATATTACTATATTAACCCCACAATATCAATATCATGCAGGTGGTCTCAGATAGCTGCCAAATTACCGGGAAGAACAGACAACGAGATAAAGAACCACTGGAACACCAACATAAAAAAGAAGCTCATAAAGATGGGAATCGATCCCATCACCCATCAGCCTCTCATCAAGCAAGAATCCATCAAAACGACAAACTCTACAGAAGTTGAGGCCCCCGCTGAAGCTCAAACTAGCTCCTCAGAAAACACGTGCCAGGTTGAAAACTGCTCCAACTCTGAAAATAACAGTTCAGACTTGCTCGCAAGCTCCATATGGGAAGTGGGCTTGCAGTTCGAAGACGCATCGTACGGGAAGTGGGCTTCCCCGTGGGATGACAGCTGTGATTGGTTAACAGACTACCAGGAACTTGGAACGGTGGATTTTGGAAAGGATTCACTTTAATTAAGGCCAGTCACCGTGAAATGTGTAACATATTATTGGTAAGTTTGTGAGATAAATAAAACAGCCGAACAATTGGAGTTGAGGCTCCTCCTACCAGTGAGGAGGGGAGAATTATAGGTATGCGGTTGGTCAGTCCTCTGTACGTGTATAGCTTGTCATCCGCCACTCAAAATGGGTGTGTACTGTAAAAATTAAATTGTAAAGTTGTAACATACGGAACTGTTGTATTTGTAAGAAGAAATATTGTGGGGGAACCAAGGCATAAAGATGCTTTGCTGTATTCTAAATGAGTTCACTTGCATACATACATATATTGTTGGATAGCAGGTTATTGGGCCGAACAAGATTCCTAGTCTGTTTTGTTTTTGGTTTTAGAATTATTGAGATTACTAGTCAGTTTTGATTTTGGTTTTAGAATTGTTGGATTCCTAGAAAAGATTTGTAGAGAGAGAAAAAGATGTTGTTTTGAGCACTTTGAGAGAGAGATTTCTGAGAGGTGAGTTGATATCTTTTGGTGATGGTTATTTTGAGTGTTTGAGAGTTGTAACACATTGTTTTTCTCCTCCATATAGTGAAAACTCTCCATTCTCTCCCCGTGGACGTAGTCAATTTGTCGAACCACATAAATCTCTGTGCTTGTGATTGGTTTGTGCCGTTCTTTTGTGAATTGCACTCGTTGGTTGTTCTTCTCTCTTGTTCGCCGACTCGTGTGGATGTTTGGTTCGCGAGTACGCTTCCGCCGACGCGCAACAATTGGTATCAGAGCCTAGGGTTTCAGACCTAGGGTTTGTTTTGGGTGGAGGAAGATTCGTTGTTGGAAGCTTGGATATTGGAGATCTAGGCTTCGGTGAAGATAGCTTTGCGGAGTTACCGTTGGAGATCTCGCATTCCTCGTGTGGTTGGTTGATCGTGTTGGAATCCTATCTAGGATTCAGTTGGGTAATTTCACAAATCTATCAAGTTCAAATCTTTCTTTACAATTTAAAGTTGCAACCAATGGGAGAAGAAGTTGGTGAAAGCAGCAAGGCGATGATGAGTACAGTTCAGGTTGCACTTCAGAATATGAAGATTATTATTGTGAAGTATGATGGCAAGATCAACTTTGGGTTATGGATGAGGTGATGTGCAGAATGTTTTGAATGCTCAGAATTTAAAGGAGACCATCATGGTCCATGAGAGGCCACCAAAGTATGATGAGGCGATATGAGACAAGATGAATCGAAACGCTTGTGGGGTAATAAGATCTTGTTTGGAATAAGAGTTGAAGTACGATGTTATCAGTGTGACATCTGCGATGAAGATGTGGGAGATTCTCAACAACAAGTATCTGACGAAGAGTGTTGAGAACCGTTTGCACTTGTTGCGAAGATTGTTCAGATTCCAGATGTCTAGGAGTACCTCACTTGTAGATCATGTGAATAACTACACAAAGTTGTTGTCGGACTTGGCGAATGTGACTGAGAATATATTGGATGAGTACAAGACGTTTATTTTATTAGGCTTCTTACTCGATGAGGAGTATGATACCTTCGTGATTACTTTGTTGAACGGTAAATTCCATCACCTATAGTGAAGTGACTAAAAGTGTTGACGAATTTCGACTTAAGGAGGAAGGATAAATAATCTTCCAGAGCTAGCACTTCAGGAGAGGCCTTGTCGATGAGAGGTAGGAGTCTCTATTCACGAGGTGACAATAGAGGCAGATCAAAGTCAAGAGGCCACTACCAATTAGCGAAGAACCAGTGTGCTTTCTGCAAAGAACAAAGATATTAAAAGAGAGATTGCCTGAAGCTCAGAGAGAAGGAGAATAGCAAGAAGAAGAGCCCGAAGGTCAGTGAGGTGAATGTTGCTAAGAGTGGTAACGATTCAGATGATTCATGTTTTTCTCTATTAATTACTCTAGAGGTTAACCATGCTGATGCATCAGATTGGATACTGGATTCTGGTGCTACTTATCATATGACTCTCCGACGAGATTGGTTTGCATTTTTCGAGAAACTCGATGGGGGTGTGGTGGTCATATGAAATGATTAGTCCTGTGGCATTTGTGGAATAAGTACTATCAGGATTCAGATGTACGATGGAGTTGTTTGTGAATTGAATGAAGTGAGATTTAATCCTCAGCTGAAAAAGAATCTTATTTCTGTTAGAGCTTTGGAGGCAAATAGATTCAAGGTGACTTTTGAGAGCGTTGTAGCAAAAGTTACTAAGGGATCTTTAATAGTGATAAAGGGAGTCCGTAGTAGAAATCTTTATTATCTGAAGGGAAGCACCGAGATTGGCTAAGTTGCTTCAGTTATTTCAGAGGTGAACGCGAGCAGATTTTGGCACTACAGATTGGGGCACACAGGTAAAAAGTCACTACAAGTATTTTCAAGTAGGGTCTATTGAAGGGAGCTAAGAATGGGAAGATTAAATTATGTGAGCATTGTGTTATTGGTAAGAAGACTAAAATGAAGTTTGGAACAACCATTCATAGGACGATAGGCATCTTGGACTATGTGCACACGGATGTTTGGGGTCCTACCAAGACGATATCACTTGGTGGTTGGTATTGGTTCATCACGTTTGTAAATGACTATTCTAGGCGTTGTTGGATGTACACCATAGCGAAGAAGAGTGAAGTCCTAGAGATATTTGTGGAGTGAAAGGGAATATTAGAACTGCAAATAGGGAGAAAGATCTGGACGTTGAGATCCGACAATGGTGGCGAGTACACTTCAGACCCCTTTTAGCAGCTATATCGAGATGAGGGCATAGAGAGGCACTTCATAGTTAGTCATACACCGCAGTAGAATGGGATGACAGAGAGGTTGAATCGGTCTTTACTAGAGAAGGTCCGATGCTTGTTATCGCAGAATGGTTTGGAGAAGATTTTTTGGGCTGAGGCACTTTCATATGCGAGCCACCTCATTAATAGGCTACCTTCATCTGCAATTGTGGGGAAAATCCCTATAGAGATATAGTCAGGAGAGCCAGTACATGACTATGATTAGGTCAAGGTATTTGGGTGCCCTGCATTTTATCATGTCAGAACTGATAAATTAGAACCTCGAGCTAGGAAGGCCATATTTGTGGGATTCAGGCGTGGTGTGAAAGGATATAAGCTTTGTTATCTAGTTAAGAAGAAGATTGTGCTGAGTAGAGATGTCACTTTCGATGAGACTTTGATCTTGAAGCTTCCCAGCTCTCATTAGGTGGAGAGCACCCCGATAGAGGAGATACCGTAGGTGGTGGAGATTGATGCAGCTCCACAGAGTCTAGATGGGACCGTATCCATTAGAGTGCCGACTGAGATGATGTCAGACGAGCACAGTGATAATTTGGAGGATACATGTACAGTAGAGCAGGATCAGGGACCGATGGCTCAAGTTCAGGATTCGATTGCGGTTCGAAAACCCAGGAGAGACATACGGTTGCTAGCGAGGTATACAGATGCAGTGGTTGTGTATGCACTTCCGATGGAGAGTGTCGATGAGATGGTTCCTACTACATTCAGAGAGGCTGAACAGAGTTCAGAGGCTGATTTGTGGCAGAAAGCTATGCGGGAGGAGATGAAGTCTCTTCAGAAGAACAACACATGGGAGCTTGTCGAGCTTCCAAAGGGGCGGAAGGCAATTGGTTGTAAATGGGTGTATACCAAGAAGAAGGGCATTCATGACACTTCAGTGATGTTCAAAGCTAGATTAGTAGTGAAGGGTTGTGCATAAGAAGAAGGCATTGACTACAATGAAGTCTTTTCTCTAGTGGTGAAGAACTTTTCGATTCGGATCTTGCTAGCTTTTGTGGCACAGTATGGTTTAAAATTAGATCAGTCGGATGTGAAAACAACTTTTCTTCATGGTGATCTTGATGAAAAATTTTATATGACTCAACCATTAGGGCTTCAAACTGCCGGAAAGGAGAAATCAGTGTGCAGATTGAAGAAATCGCTATACAGGTAGAATCTTGTTGCGGATTTGCGCTTGTTGAGGCCTTTCGAGGCCATTTGGAGGAACTATGGGCGGTTTGATCCCATGGGAGATGGGGTACGTAGGCAACCATATTGGTGCAGCCGGATTTGGAGAGACGACACATTGGTGCTCTTGTTGGTGTCGGCTCAGTTTTGGGAACACTTCACCGAGGCGAAGAATTGTTGGATAGCAGGTTATTAGGCCAAACATGATTCTTAGTCTGTTTTGGTTTTGGTTTTAGAATTATTGGGATTCCTAGTCTGTTTTGATTTTAGTTTTAGAATTGTTGGATTCCTAGTCTGTTTTGGTTTTAGGGTTTCTATATATATGGAACGTTTTAGAAGAGATTTGTAGAGAGAGAAAAAGAGGTTGTTTTGAGAACTTTGAGAGGGAGATTTCTGAGAGGTGAGTTAAGATCTATTGGTGAGGATTATTTTGAGTGTTTGAGAGTTGTAACCCATTGTTTTTCTCCTCCATATAGTGAAAACTCCTCATCCTCTCCCCGTGGACATAGGCAATTTGTCGAACCACGTAAATCTCTATGTTTGTGATTGGTTTGTGCCGTTCTTTAGTGAATTTCACTTGTCGGTTCTTCTCTCTTGTTCGCCGACTCGTGTGGGTGTTTGGTTCGCGAGCACGCTTCCATCGACGCGCA